GGGCTAATGAAATATATATGGATCCTCGTGTTTCGAAGCCGGATTTGGTAAAACGTTACTCTGACCACCTACGTGATATGGGTAGTCCCCATTAGAGGTTCACGGCGCCATAAGCTCGTTGAACAGGCTTTGTGTGAAATATAACAAAGTCTAGGACTGCTTTTAGTATCCTGGTGGTCCAGAGGTAGCATTCCCCGGTCACAGTCATGGGCTCGTGGGCAGTGGGTTCGAATGCTGGCGGGTTGAGGTGTTGATTGTATGTAGAAGTCTGCATGCTTTATTGGGCGAATGAAATATATATATATATATATATATATATATATATATATATATATATATATATATATATATATATATATATATATTTGAAGAGTTCAGATGCAAAACCAGATAGCCTGTATATCCATTTGATCTATTTTTGGGAAATGGCCATTTCCTATTGTTTGCACGGTATTAGTAAATAAATCAGTTTTGTGAGTTCATTTAAAAATTCGATAATGATTAACTAATTCTACAAAATGCAAATTATATAATATCAAATTTTCATTGACTAATGCTTATCTGTCGTATCAGAAGCAACAAATACAATGTTCAATGGAAAAAAAATCTTAACCTGAGCATCCTATGCTCATCAAATTGATGAGAGCTGACCAGATAAAACTAATATGATTTAGTTTAAAAAATGGAACTAATAATTGCCTAACAGTGTACAATGACGGAAGAAATCATTAACCTTACAGGATGGGAGCTAATTACGACGCTAGTCTAATGTTGAAAACAAAAAGCTTTATGTATCAAAACCAGAGCGCACTCCATAGAAAGTAGCTGTTCTCATCACTGACAATAAACTGGCTGACAACATCTGTCAGGAGACCTTCGTGAAAATTAGATATGGTTGAAGCACCAACCTCTTCAATATGCTTTAGGATATCAATTTTTCTGATCGGTTTCACACATTCCATCATTGGACTGATTCTTGGAATAAATTGTTCCTATGTCTTTCCACACTTAGGATGTGGTGACAGAAATCCCCACCATTAAAAGTCATGGATGTCCTCATTGCTTTCGGTGGCTGTGGCATTGCTGGTCTTGAAAGACTTTTACGACTACTAGTTTAGGTCACCTTAAATTTGAAGTTAGGGAATTCCAAGCCCTCTGTTAAGGTATTCGTTAAAGGTTGTTAGATCTTCACACCAATTAATTATGATTAACTCAGCATTTATCTCTCAGCTATGAATAATTGTATCAAAATAAAAATTGAAATAAGTATAAAAACAAAATGTATTAACAATAATAAATTAAGAATAGTGGCAGCATATTTAGGAGACCATACAAAATATGAATCATGGCTGGTAGAGGTAGGGCCTGGTGTCACTTGGCGACTCGGGCCAACTGGACTTCATGTACACAGGGTTACACTGGAGGCCGCATCCCTCATATAAGGTGTGAGCACTATATTGAAAAGTTGCTGTAGTGGGCTAGTGGCACACACAAATCCTAGCGCGGTAACACGCTATACCAGCTAGCGGCAGGCCACATAGACACAGGTCATCACACTACCACACTGCAGCAGCTCCGCCACTCCATATATAAAAAGCTGAAGGATTGAACACGTCCTTAGTTTCGTACTAACTAAACTATTTACTTGTAACACCACACACTATATATATATATATATATATATATATATATATATATATATATATATATATATATATATATATATATATATCGTACTCAAAGAGTGGACAAGTGTCAGCGGCGAGGCAGGTTCCGGATTAGTGACGCGGCTTGCCTGGTCGGCCTCTCACAACAGCTCGTGTAAAATGAATCTTTAGTTTCGAAATATGCGATTTTCGAATTCAAGCAATATGTGAAATAAGACGGGGTAAATAATTCACACCCTCCCACCTGGCAAAAGATTTCAATGTATTCTCTGTCCTCCCAAAAACACGATCTGGAGAAGAAAAAAAAACTGACCACGGATAAAGAAGTAATAATTCATCTGAAGGCATGCCTGTGGCTGCTTCACCCTCATCACCATCAACGTTTTACGGACATGCTTGTGTGGGTTAGCCGCGATTACCTGATGGCAGCACTCCAATTCCACGCTGCATGGTCTCTTGCAGTCTCTCTTGTCAGGTTCTAACTTTCCTGTCGTTTATTACCACCTCTCCCCATGTCATTCTTGGCCTGCAGCTGGCACTCCTCCTCTCCACATTTAGGCTCGTGCGTCTCTTGATCCATTTAGTGTCATCTATTCTCTCCACATGCCTAAACCATCACAGCCTGCCTCTACCCAGAACTTCACCAATGCTCTCAATACGCAGCCCTCTTAACTCTGAATAGGGTCTCCTGTCCTTCAGTGTTACATTACACAGCCACCCCACCATTCTTATTTCAGCTCGCTCAAGCCTACTTATGTCAAACTCTTTAACTGCTCAATGCCCATGTTTCACTGCCATACAGCATGGTACGTCTCACACCAGCTGCATTCACTTTTCCTTTCACACAGAGGGAAAGTCTTTTAGCCGTCAACAAAGGTAGCCACTCCCTAAAGTTAGTGGTTCTTAAACTTTTTTGCCTCGCCCCCCCCCCTCTGCATAAGTCCTAAATCCCACGTCCCCCCCTCCCCCCACCCCCTGATGCAGCCCTTGGTTATTTTTGAGTGGGAGGGATGAGCAATCGTGTACAAGACGCGTTCAGTTCCTGACCAGAGTTTTCTCTCTGACCGCTCGCTTTGGAATCTCCTGGCGCCCCCCAACCGACACTGATCATGTCACAGTCCAGGGACATATCCCAATGATGAGTTTCTTCAGCCTTGCTATGGGCACAAGACTACCTGCACATACAGAACACTTAGAGTAAGTAACATCCAGCAGTCTATCATTTACTCCACTGCACCTTTTGTGCCCCTTGTGTACCTACCTTCCACACTCACTGCACATTATTGAGTTGCTGCCAACACCTTTCTCACAGACAGCACAGCACCCTCACCACTAATCAATACTTTTGTTTTCACCACATTCACTCTCAGGCTCTTTGACTATTCCATCCTTCCATTTCTTAATTTTCTCCACTGCCTCTTCTGTTATCAGCACTATAACAACTCCTAGGGCAAGTCAGACCTAAAATCCCGTGATATTACCTCCAGCACCACGGCACACAGGAGACTTAAGACAGATGTACCTCTAATTTCACCACAAATTACTCACTTTCCTCACCATTTACTCTCATAGAAGTTTTTGATTCCTCATATTATGGCATAAACACTCGAACAAGATACTCCTCGACTCATACCTTCTCATTACCCATTTCACTTCTTCAAGTGGAACCCTGTCAAATGACTTCTCTAAGTCTACAAATACAAGCGCAATTTTTTCTCCATCCTGAGATATTTCTTTGCAGCTGCCTGTCCGTAAATATTGCCTCTTTAGTCCCTATCTGGCACAAATCCAAATTGCATTTCGTTTATGTCTTCTCTCTCCCATATCAAGTTCTCAATCACTCTTTCTACAACTTTCATAACCTGAGCAAGCAACTTTAGGCCCTTGTAGTTCCCAAGTTCAAACGCATTACCTTTACCCTTATAAGTATTCACGATCACAACCTTTAGTCGTCTTGGAAACATTCCATCATAATTGTATGAGTCAATTAGGTCACCATTCACAAGCCTACATTGTCTGATGCTTTCAGCCGCTTTTCCATTCTGCATTTTGTGAATCGCTTTCTTCACCCATTCTCTTTTAATCCGTGGGCATGGTCCCTGTACTCAGTGTACTGGTTCTACTACCCATAGGCTGCCCCTGTCCCATTCCTACTCCTCATTCAGTAGTCAATTGTAGTATTTTCTCCAGGCATTCTTGATTTCCTCGTTCTGCACAACCAAGTTACCATTTCTCATGCATTGCTCACCGACAACATCCTTCTTTCTACCCACTATTTGCCTGTCTAATTTGAAAACCTCTACTCTTATTGTACGTTTGCGTTATTCAACATATCCACGATTGTATCCTGTTCATTCTTCTTAGCCTTGTGACCGTCTATTCCGGCCCCACGTTTGGTCTTCGAGTACTCCTTGTCACCACCTATCTTTCAGGCCCTATACAATATTATTGTCTACTTTAACGCTCTGTCGACTTCATTCTTTCCACCACCATGTTAATGCATGCCTGACTAGGCCCTTCGTCCAGCTACACATCTTGTCAGCCGTGTTTAGCAACATATCCTTTTTTGGTCCAGCATTTAGCTATATTACCCCTCTCACTCTCACTGGATGTTTCCAATCTTCTGAACTCAACATAAAATGCTTCTCTTACATTTTATTTAATTAATTTCCACATGTTTTTTCTCGGAAAATCTAAAAAATTTTCTTTCTCTACATCTTTTAAACAACAAGAAATCTGTGCTGCAAATCGTAAGTGTATGAGTTCACAGCAAGTGGATGGATTCCTCGAATAAATTTATCGACTTGCCAAAGTCATCTACTTTCTGAAAGCCTCTTGACCCCGTAATTCTATCTAGAAAAGTGTACGGTGCTTTGCACCAGTTCTGAATGTTGGGTGACACGATATGGTGAGGGGTGGGATCTCGGCTCTTGTAGAGATTTTATATTAGGCATATCTCATAATTTGGCTGATAATCCAATTCGAGAATGGCACAGCTTCTTCATGACGAATTATAGAAGTCTTAGTGTACTGTACAGTGTGAGATGCTACTTTTTGCTCATACTACTTGCCTATACTTTGAGCTGGATAATTTAGGAGTAGTACTTTTAACTTAATAAAAGTACAGTAAATTTTTTGTCAGATTGCATATGCTTCAAATTAAATATTAAAAAAAAGTATACTTTACACCTCTACTAGAACCTAGAGTGACCCCGGGAGGATGGAGGCGATCAGGTGGTGTCGGTGGTCTAGGAAGACCCTGCAGAGCCTCGCCTTCGGCTTAATTGAGCCGTACAGTCTACCCAGAACCTTAGTATATCCCTAGAGCCTCACCTGAGCCTAAGGTGACCCCCACGAGAATGGAGGCGATCCAGGAGGTGGAAGCGGCTGAGGCATCATAGTACTGAACCAGTTGTACGAAGTAGATCCCAAAGGTGTAGGTGAAGCCGTCAGCTGTGGAGAAGAAAAAATAATTATCAACATAGGCCACCAGCTAAGTTGGAACAAGTTCAACAGTACGAGGACTTCTTACTGTCGATCATGGAGACAACAAACTCAGTTCAGAGGTAATGACCGTATTGTCAACAGAAGATGAAGGATTATTAATTAAAAGAGGTGATGTTTGTTTACTGTCAGATGACTGTAGATAATTTCTAATTAACACGAAATGTTCATTTACGGTCACATGATTTGTAACTAACATATAAAACTAGATATGGCAGTAAATATTGTTTGCGCGATATACCTCGCTGTCACTGCACCGGCAAAGTGTGTAAGAACAAGAACAAGGTGGTATTCAAGAGTGACTATAGTGGTCTATCTATAAGTCTAAGATAGGTACTGATATTGTTGCAGAAGTCTGGCAGTTGTTAATATAAATGATGGACAGATTGTAATCTGATCAGATTTGTGTTGAAACAATGTCATAAGTGAGTATTACCCGCCAAGCGCGAACCAATCGCAGTAACCTGTGAGTGTGAATGCCTTAGGCCTGAACGTGACGTCATGACCATGTGATATTCTGTGACTCTCAAGGAGCTTTGAAATCAGTTGTATGTGATATTAAAAGAAATGCGATAACTGCCAATGAGAACAACTCTCGTATCGAATTTGTGTGGATTCCGTCCCATGTTGGAATTAGGTATCATGACCGTGCTGATAGACTGGCCAATGAGGCTTGTAAGAAAGAAAATGTTGACCGTGACCTTGGCCTGTCCAATGCTGTACTTAAAAACATTCAAGTCAGAATCATGAATTCTGATCTAGAAGAAATGATAAATGCAGAGAGACCTGGCAGTTGTAGTATTAGTAAATATGACAAATTTTGTGACAAGAGGTACCGGTATGGCCAGCATAAGGACAGAACTAGACAAGGAACTAGGCTAGGATATAGACACATCTGGCAAGTAAGTAATGCTGTGACCATACCGGAACACTCAGCATGTAAACTTTGTTATAAACCTTTACAGCATACACTTGAACACTATATTATTGAATGTGACACTGTCAACGACTTCAGGTCACCTGGCATATAGTCTCGTGAACTTTGTAATTACTATATTGAATCAGGGGTGCTTGAGGACATTGTTGCTATTTATCCCAAATTTGCTAGCCCACACTGATTAGTCTTCAATTAGAATATGACGTCCATTGTATATGAACTACTGTCCTGCATGACAGTGAACAGTGACATCACCCACATGACTTTGACCTATATATACTGCAAATGAATATGAAGTATTTCTTTGTGTATGAACCTCTGTCCTGTGTGGCAGTGAGAAGTGATACCACTCTCAGTGTCAAGACCTGACTGAATTACTCAGAATATGCAAAATGTACTCCAAGCTTTGTCAATAAATCCATCTCATGAGTATACAGAGAATAAAGTATGGGGAGTTAAGAAGAGAAGTAAGTAAATAAATAAAGAAAATAATAAAAGGTAAATAAAAGAGGTTTTATTACTACAGTGTAGAGGTAAATCTATCCTCAGGTCTTGGCTATGGGGCAGTGAAATTGTTGTGAAAAGTCTGTAATATGAACTTTTATTCACCATCATGATTCATAGGAGGGATTTAGGACTGTCATAGAGGTCGTGGGATCGATGGGGTCCCATAGAGCTCATAGCCCAGGTGTCAAAGACTGAAGAAAGTGGACGACAAATTATGGTCAAGGGGTTATGAGATACTACTTTATTCTCCTTGTGACAAGTCAAATCAGTCCAAGGAAGGAAAAAGCTGATGAAACATTACGCAACAGATAATCCACACTCCTACCTTTGAACCGTTCTGAGCTCAATTCACTCTGTACTTCCCATGGATTCAGACCAAAAATGGCAGCAAATTTAGATGGTAAATTCCCTGAGTTGCTCACTGAGTCTTTGGATTTTGTTCAGTTTCTGTTCAAGACAGATGTAAAATAGTGTGGCTCTTTTGTCCTCGAAATAGCAGAATTACAGGCTGAGAACGAGGCAAGGGTAACTTTTGCCGTATTTGATGACATACCATTGTTTTGGGTTATTTATCAAATTGACATTCAGCAGTTAAAAATTGAACTATCAAGATTCTGATACAATTTGGAAGCTCCATTGTCTGTGAGGCAGTTTTCCCGTCAATGGTGTTTCTAAAAAAAAATATTACAGGAACCGAATCAAACTTAAAGTTTAAAAAAAATGTATGCTATGTTGTTTAATCACATAATTATACCCACAGTTAACAGATAATTTATTAAATGATAATGCACACACGTTACACATGAATTATGACTGATGTAACTTGTATTGAAAATTAATTATATGATGATGCGCATATGTCACATACGAAATAGGTACAGTATGACAAAGTTGTAGCTAAGAAAATTGTATGTCATGTTGCTTAACCATGTACCGTAATTATACCTCGAAGTATAGAACATAAATGATCATATAAACATGCCACATATTAAACGTGACAAGAGTTGTAGCTTGTTTCTGTCAGTATTTACTTTTAGACTTATCAATTATGTAATACATTTTCCTTACTTGTTTTTACAGTTAAATACGTATATCAATATGCCGTATTTACTCTAAGGATCTTCATACATACAGCATATTTAATGACTTAGGGTCGCTTTGGCAAATGCTTGGGAACCACTGGTCTAAGGTTTTGTATCTCTTTGGGGACCGAATTTTTAATGTCATTCATCCATTCCAGTTTCCGCCTTTCCCTGGTCCTCTTACCCTCAACTTTGTCCATTAATATTTCTATATATTGTTCCCTATCCCTAATTATATGACAAAATTATCTCATTTTTATTTTTCTGTACATTTCAAGTATTTCTCTTGAAGTTTTTGCTAATCTTAGTACTTCTTTATTTGTTTTCCTGTCAGTGTAGCTTATTCTTAGTGTTCGCCTGTAACGTCACATTACAAAGGCCTCCAACCTCTTTCTGGTGTCCGCTGAAAGTGCGACGCTTCTGACCCATACATCAGATCAGTGGATCAGGAAAATGAAGAGCCAAGATGTGTAGCTGCAATCTGTAGCCTCACAACATAAATCAACTCACGTGCAGCCATCATACTTCTTATCTTCACCAATCGCCTATCCCCCAAAAGTCCTCTGGTGATAGACGAGTGGCGACGGGGACAGGCAGAGATCACTGCCGGGAGTCTCTAGTCACAGCTCTGCACATGGGTGGCATAGATAAGATGGTCGTTTATGCACTGGGATCTAGGCAGCAGTGCAATCCGGTCCTGTCTGTGCGACTGAGCAGTCCTTACTAGGAGCCACTCTGCTCTCGTCACATATGGAGGGGTCTTGAAAAGCTGCCCTAAACATAGCCTGCCTAAAGAGCCAACCTGACTGGGCAACAGCACCCAGTAAGGACATCCTTATGCAGTCCAAAACATAATCACAATCACAGATCAAAGCAAAAACAAACTAAACAACCTCTTACGGTCCCTGCATGGTATGTCAGGCCTCTTCTGGATGCTGGCACAAATGAACGTCCTGAAAGAAGAACCGCCCTTGTGGCAAAAGAACTGTCTCGGTATAACATCGACAAAGCAGCCATTAGTAAGTCCCGGCTCCCAGACGTGGGTCGATTCACAGAACAGGGGTGTGGCTATACCTTCTTCTGGAAATGTAAGCCTGCTGCAGAGACAAACCGTATTTACAAAGTTGGCTTTGCCATTCACCAATCCATCATACATAGACTAACTGAAATGCGTTGGGATTAGCGAGCACCTCATGACGCTCCGAGTCCCACCGAATCACTCACGCTATGCCTTCTTTGTCAGCGCACACGCCCAAACACTGGATGCAGAGGATGGCATCAAGGGGGCTTTTTACGCCGACCTAGACAGAGTGCTAACATCTATCCCCAGAGAAGATAAGGTTGTGCTCTTAGGTGACTTCAATGCCAGAGATAGCAGAAATACTGACATGTGGCAGGGAACCATAGGGAGAAACAGAGTAGGCACGTGTAATCTCAATGGCCTACTCCTCCTCAGCAAGTGTGCTGAACACAACCTCAATATCACCAACACCTTGTTTAGGCAGGCCGACAAGTTCAAGGTTTCTTGGCAACAACCACGATCCAAACATTGGCATCTCATTGACTACATTATTGTCAGAGAGAGATCTCGCCGAGATGTCCTCATCACTCGAGCCATGCGTGGCTCAGACCACTGTGACACAGATCATCGGCTCGTCTGAGCCGACTCTCCCTTCACATCGCCCCAAAACGGCGAAGGCAACAAACTTCCAGAAGTGGTTTCAACACCAAGCAACTGGAGGATCCAGCTGTAGCACATGCCTTTAGATAGCAGCTCAACAATGGCTGATAAACAACCCAACAACAAACAACCAAAATCCAACTGCCAAATGGAGTCCCATCAAAGCTGTCATCACAAAAAACTGCAAAGAGATACTCGGCCTGATCAAAAGAAAATACCAGGATTGGTTTGATGAAAATGACCCGGAAATCGAAGCACTCGTCAATTGTAAACGTGCTGCGCTCAGTGACTGGCAGAACAACCCTAAGTCTCGGACTAAAGCTGATACCTTCCACAAAAAGAAAATGGTGGTCCAGCGTGAATTTCGCAAAGTAATGAACGAATGGTAGAAAAATAATGTGTGTGAAATGCAGAAATTTGCAGATCAACACAAGATGCATGAATTTTTAAATTCCACTAAAACAATATATGACCCAGCTACTCATGATGTGGGCCGCCTCCACTCATCTGATGGTAAATTCCTAATTAAAGACGAAGAAGGCATCCGCCAGCACAGATTCCTCAGCACCCAGAGCTAACCTGCCTCAGCTATCCTCCATCCCTTGATGAGGCTACTGCCATCAAGCCGATGAAAAATAACAAAGCCACAGGGCCACATGGAATCCCAGCCAATGTGTATAAAGCAGGAGGACCTCTTCCACTCTCTCATGGAAAATATATGGGAGAAAGAATACATCCCCCAAGATCTTAAAAATTAAGGGAGACCGGTCAGACTGTGGCAACTACCACAGGATCACACTGCTGTCCGTAGCTGGCAAGATTATCGTCCAAGTCCTCCTAAATAGACTCCTTCCTGAGGCAGAAAACTTCCTCCCAGAATCTCAATGTGGCTCTAGACCATCACGTGGCACCACTGATATGATCATTGATGCCCATCAGATCCAGGAAAAGTGCATAGAACAGCGTCATGACTTATACACGGCCTTCATTGACCTTACTAACGCCTTCGACTCGGTCAACAGGGAAGCCCTATGGCAGGCCCTCAGTCGCTTTGGTTGCCCACCAAAATTCATGACCATTGTAAGGCAACTCCATGATGGCATGAACGGCAGTGTCCTACACAATGGCACCTAGTCTGAGCTCTTCCCCATCCAAACGGGGGTAAAACAAGAATATGTACTGGCACCAACTCTCTTTTCCATTTCCTTGGCTGCCTTCCTGACTCGTGCAAGTGCCAATTTAGCTGGAGGGATGGATATCCAGTAATGGATGAAGGGACTTTTCAACATAAAACGACTCCAGGCAGGTCACTGCCTGGAGTATGCAGACGATCTCACACTCGTCGTCTACACTGAATGCAACCTACAGGAGATCCTGAACACCTACAAAGATGTATATGCACTCTTCGGCCTTGAGGTGAATGTACATAAATCTCAGATTTTCTTTCAGCATGCCCCTGGTTCAGTCACACCTCCACCACCCATCCAGCTTACCAGCACTACTCTCTTTAATGTTACCCATCAGATCAGATGTGCATCTCAAGCCTTTGGGAGAGTCCGTACCCGTGTCTTCAGCTGTAGGAAGCTGAAATTATCTACAAAGCTGCACGTGCATCGAACAATGGTCCTCCCCATCAAATTGTATGGCAGTGAAACATAGGTCAAATAAAGGAGGCACCTCGAGGCACTTGAAAACTTTCACCAAAGTAGTCTATGTTCCATCCTTTGAGTTCGCTGGGAAGACAAGAAAACAAATGCCAGTATTCTCGCTGACACCAACTGTAGGAGCATCGAGGCTACCATTATCAATGAAACGATTACATTGGACTGGCCATGTTACCCGCATGGACGACAGTAGACTGCCAAAGCAGCTACTTTACAGTCACCTGACGAATAGTAAATGTAACATTGGCGGACAATGAACAAAGTTTAAGAAAAACCAGAAAAAGTGCCTCACCTGGGAGACGATCACTCCACACCGTAACACTTGGAGGAGCGCCACACGAGAAGGTGTCAATATTTTCGAGTTAACCCGACTGCATACCGAGGCAGACAAGTGCCAGAGCTGGAAAGACGCTGCCGCCGCCCCTCCAGCACTACATGTAGACCTCCACACGTGCAACATCTGTGGATGGCCCTGTCAATCCTGTATCGGCCTCTCGAGTCACCTCAAAGCTCACCAACGAAAGTGACATCCCTAATAAGTTAATAACTCATATCATTATATCATAGCTGGATGATCGTCATACTCGATTGTGAGTGACAGTAAAGTAGTAGTAGTTGCAGTAATTAGCACTACGGACTTCAAGACGAGTATGTAGCGGGAAAGGTGAATGAGGGGGTTAGTGAAATCCAAGCTCTGTCTGAGATTGCTAACACACAGCCACATGCGGGTTTTGCTGCATTCACCCATGGAGTCAAGCATCGTTGGAATTACCTGATGCGTACTATCCCAGATATCGGACCCCTCCTCCACCCTCTGGAAGAAGCTATTAGTGTCAATTTCTTTCCCAAATTAGTGAAACACCCTCACTTAACCCCAGCAGAAGGATATCTTCTTGCACTTCCATCAAAACTGGGAGGGATGGGACTAACCAATCCAGAGGAGATTGCTGCCACCGAACATCAAAATTCACTTAAGCTCACGGCAGCCCTCACGGACCACATAATAGCCCAGAATGCAACAGGGGAGGTGGATACCAGTGAAGTAAACAAGATTCGTAGGTCCATTACAACAGAACGACAGCACTGCCAAAATGAGAAGCTGCAGCAACTGTTGCTGCAGGTACCAGAAAATTTGAAAAAAAATAGCTATAGCGCAGGAGGTGGGCGCCTCAAACTGGTTAACTACGTTACCGATAAGGGCAAATGGTTTCAGTCTCAATAAACAAGAATTTACAGATGCCATTGCTCTAAGGTACAGTTGGCCAGTAGAAGGGTTGCCCTCCCAATGCGTGTGTGGCTCTTCCTATGACGTCGATCACGCCATGGTGTGCAAGAAAGGGGGCTTCACATGCATGAGGCATGACGAAGTAAGGGACCTCACAGCAAATATGTTGAAGGAAATGTGCCGGGATGTCATGGTAGAACCGATCCTCCTTCCTTTGTATGGTGAGATCTTCCAACATAGGATTTCAAACACATCTAACGAAGCCCGTGTTGACGTCAGTGCTCGAGGATTCTGGATGCGGGGACAGCGAGCTTTCTTCGACATCAGGATTTTTTATCCCATGGCCGCATGTCACCGTAACCTAGCTCTCGATGCTGCACACAGGAGGAACGAGAACGACAAGATAAGGGCGTATGGGGAGAGAATTCAAAACGTTGATCAAGGCAGCTACACTCCTCTAGTGATCACAACCTCTGGTGGGATGGGACCAAGTGGAAGATGTTTCTACGCCAGACTCGCTGAGGTGATCTCCGAACAGAAGCAGCAGCCCAGAAGTTATGTTACAGCCTGGATGAGATGTCGACTGTCTTTCTCTCTCCTTCGGTCGGCTTTACTCTGCCTCAGGGGAACGAGAGCTTCTGCCCCAATGCCGACAACTGCTGCAGATGTTGACTATGAGGCTACAGTCACTGAATGCCGCATAGATTTGCAGCTCAACTAATTCAACACAGATAGGATAGCTACTTATGTATTAGGATATTTAATATTAAGGTAATAAAATGGCCGAAGGTGTGGCTATTGGGGGAGGCTGAAGGCCAAAAAAAAAAAGTTGTAGTAGTAGTAGTAGTAGGATAAGTGTGTGTGTGTGTGTGTGTGTGTGTGTGTGTGTGTGTGTGTGTGTCGTGGTGGTGTGGGGGATTGAGTTTCACGTTACACAGGTTCCAGCCATACCAGTTTCCTTCCATTTGTCTCGACCACCAAAGCTCTCTACTCTGAGACTGTACCGAATGTCTTTATTTCTACAGGCATGAACATCTTCACTCTTGATTAAGATATATAATTATTTTTACTAGTTGAACAGTATACATTTCTTCTTAAATATAGCAACTTTACTTCAAAATCTTTACTTCTACAATAGGATATCATTACCTATTGTACAGCATACAGTATATTTGCCTATGGGTAGAATATCTTTACTTCTTCAATAAGCTGTATTCGTCAGTTCAGTAATCGCAAATCCTGTTGAAAAATAAAATTTTCCCC